GTCTGGACCCTGCAGGTACAGCAGCACTGACCGTCTGCACGTCCGTCCCCCTCACTGCCAGTAACAGGTCGGACCACCAGTGCTGCTGGGAAGCTGTAAACTTGTACACTCTGACATCATACACCTGCTCTCATTTTGATAATGACCCCTCACATTGCCACGGTGGAACAACTCAAACGTCTGGCCTGTGTAAACAACCAAATTGCACTGGCTGTGCATCAGGGGGATGCAGAAGGAGRTGGTGGTCCCATTATGTAATCCAGCCAATGATGTGATTGAGAGGTTTCTTGTCCCTGCAGTCCAGGGAGCTTTGCTGAAATCTGCCGGCCACACGGCTTTGGAAAGCAAAGTGTTCGGCTGCATCAGGCGTGCACGCAGACAGCAATCCCCCCCTGATACTTGCTTCTGGGGGTCTTTCACATAAGTCTGGAAAGGGTTTTGATGTCACAAACACTCCACACTCTCAGGCCATGCAGCATGAGCACAACAAGGATCAGATCTGTTCAGTTTACTTCTGTCATCTGTTTGCACAGAAGCCTTACTCAAGCAGTYCCATGGAGTACCATGACTTTCTGTTGTAATGACAGAGGGACACAGGGAATTTACTGTAAACAGTGTTCACAGTGTGCAATAATAATAATAATAATAATTAATAATAATAAAACTATTTGTTCTGMGGAGTCATCAGAACACAGGACTGAAACTAAAGTTGCACACTTCAATCCTTGCACTGAGCCGTTTGTTTTGTCTGATTGTGCCAAATAAAAAAACAAAGACTGACATCACCTTTTCGTAGGTTTAATGAATAACAAGGCGAGACAATATCTCCTAAGACTCTTATTCTGTTAATCTGTTTATTAAGGCTTGTGAAGTGGCACAGTGTTTGTCTAGCCAGGTAATCTCCATCCATGGAATACCAATGGTTATATGTGCAGGTTTTCGTTTCAAAATGCATGTTGTTGGTAAAGTAGCTGTTGCATGTTACAGACTTTTATTTAAAGCCGTCTGCTTTGAGACGATGACGCGACAGAGGCAACGGCCCGTTGTATGCTRTTAATAATAATATAGTTTAATAAGCTATGAAACTGCAGGTTTGGATTGTGCACAAGTGCAAATGCCCCTAGAGAGGTGAATCACTTGTGTGTGTAACCTATTTATTTATTTATTTATTTATTTATTTTTAACTGACCTATGTGTTTTAGTATGTACATATGGCAGCTTGTGGGTTTGCATAGTTTTGTTTCATTGTCAGATAGTCCTGTCTGTCATTTCTGTTTGTTTTACATTTATCTATATCCAGCTTTCACAAAGGTAAAGCAATATCTGGGTGTGTTTTAGTATCCAATACAATTGTTCAAATGTCCAAAATTCTAAATTTTGSACAATAGAGGTGTCAGTTTGTAGCTGTGTGCCTTTATAAGTAATATATTTCTTTAAAMGTTTGTTTGTTTTTTCACATTACTTGCTTTTGTGTTCTTTGGGGAAGGAAATAGTAATGGAGTGTTAAACCTAAAACTCCCTCAATTGCTCACTGTTGAGCACCAACTACTAAAATAATCTCAGAATAGGTGACAGAATTTACTGTGAGATTAGATGCAAACATGAGGTCATTGTAAAAAAATGAATMCACTTTATCTCAGTGATACCCCTGCTCTTAGACAGTGGACAGGTTAAGGAAATAAAAATAGAGGTCATAAATCAGCTCATTTGTTGTGGCAGGCGACTGCACTGCAGCTGCATATTCCTTCGTAATATGAACAGAGTTAATCTGGTGTTGATTGCTGCATAAAGATGGAGGATAGAATGAGTGCTGCTACGATAAGCATCCAGAGAACGATCTTTCTGGCAGTTCTTTCAAATTGCTGAACTTTTTCCTTTTTGTCATCCGATAAAGCTTCAAAAATATGGATCCTAACTTGAAATCTCACCAAATACTGAATGAGCAAACACAGAGGATGTTGATGATGAATAAAAAACGACGAATTTTACCGTAGAATAACTGAGATGCCTCAAATGTTGGTTGGTTGGTTTAACAAGCGAAAAAACATTGTATCATTACAGATCAAAGGTCACCAGTAAAGCTTCATCGCACTRATTTAGCTTCACCTAACAGTGGTGTGAGTGCAGAGATCTGGGGTTTCCTGTTGTTTGCCTCTGCGTTTGGCTCACAGATGCTTGGCCCTCCTCAGACGACACTGGTGATATTTTTGTTTATGAGAAAGTTTGAAGGAAGGTTATTATTATTGCCGACCAGATCTCAGTAATGAACGCCTGTAACGTTTACACCCTCAGCACGCAGCTTGCATGTGTGGCTTTGTAAATAAGTGATGAAGGTATTTATTTACCTGTGCTGTGTTTTAAACAATATATATTCTTGCCTTTGCTGTTATAAATGGATCTATTCTGAGAGAAAGCTAAAAAGAATCTGAAAATGTATTGCATTCTGGTAGTATTAGGATTTGTGGGTGTGTAATAAGGTCCAAAACAATTTATCTGTTGTATGCCATCCATATTCCCCCCACCATTTCATTTGTTGATGTTTGATTCTTCTGCAGGTGGCCATTAAGATTATTGATAAGACCCAACTGGATGCTGTCAACCTGGAGAAAATCTACAGGGAAGTTCAGATCATGAAGATGCTGGACCACCCTCACATCATAAAGCTGTACCAGGTGAGTTTTTAGTGTTAATTCTTATTATTCTACAGTGGTTTGCTTCATTTGTCAACTAATAATGAAATATGTGAATAAAATGAATCATTTTTGGAGTTACTGGTTTCCTCCTTGAGTCACTTATCAACTCTTTGGTCTTTTATCTGATCCAGTGTTTGTTATTGTCTCTCAAATTGAAATGTTCCTCGTCTCATTGTGCATTGCTGCTCTGATAAAAGATGTAATTATTTCTTAAAATTTTTTTTGCATTGTTAATCAGTGCCAGTCAAGAGGTTTTGTAAATATTTAATTCATTCTTGGGTCTTGASATCTAATTATTTGCAATTTGCTTCCATAACTGCACTCAAATAAACAGGAAAACAGACGTCATTCAAGCCTTAAATTCTACCCCACCATCATTTTTTATGCTCACATTTTATCTGCAGTTATCTGCAGTGATATGGCAAGTTTAGCTGAAATAAGGATGATGAAAGACAAGACTTTGTTTCYCAAGATATAAGTGTAGAGAAAGCAACCTGAAGTGGATCATATAGGTCCCTGATGGGGTAGACGTCTCTCTTTCGTCTCTGGATTTCAGCGGTTTTCCAGCACTGATCCCCTTTTCAGTGCAAACAATGGGCCTCATGCAAGAACATGTTCGTTTTCTTATCCTAAATTTCTCTTACTTTTGTTCGTACAAAGGGTTCGTA